TTTTGGGAGGGTTGGAACACACCTGGGCACACCTGGGCACACCTGGGGAAGGTGGGTGGTACCTGCTCGACACCAGGATGGAGCTGAGGAAGTGCTGCAACCACCCCGAGCTCATCAATGGTGGGTGTTTGGGGGCACACCTGGGCACACCTGGGGGGGTTGGAGCACACCTGGGCACACCTGGGACACACCTGGGGGGGTTGGAGCACACCTGGGCACACCTGGGACACACCTGGGGGGGTTGGAGCACACTTGGGCACACCTGGGACACACCTGGGGGGACTGGGGCACACCTGGATACACCTGGGCACACCTAGGGGATGGTGGATGGTACCTGCCCAACGCCACAGTGGAGGTGAGGTCTTGGTGGCCATGTGAGGCTCTTCGTGGCTACCTGGTGGTCACCTGGGGAAGGTGTGGATGGGTGGTCACCTGCAGAAGATTTTGGAGACCACGTCGAGGTTTTGGTGGTCACCTGGACACCTCGGTGGTCACTTGGTGGTCATCTGGACACCTTGGTGGTCACCTGGAGACCTTGGTGGTCACTTGGTGGTCATTTGGAGTCCTTGGGGGCACCTGGACACCTTGGGGGTCACCTAGTGGGGGTCACCTGCAGAAGCTCTTGCTGACCACACCAGGGCCTTGCTGGTCACCTGTGGGTCACAATGGTCACCTGGACACCTTGTCGGTCACCTGCTGCTCACCTGGTGGTCCCCTGGTGGTCCCCCGGTGGTCACCTGGAGGTCTTGGGGGTCACCTAGTGGGGTTCACCTGTAGAAGGTCTTGCTGACCCCACCAGGGTCTTACTGGTCACCTGTGGGTCACGATGGTCACCTGGACACCTTGTTGGTCACCTGGTGGTCCCCTGATGGTCACTTGGTGGTCACCTGGAGACCTTGGGGGTCACCTAGTGGGGGTCACCTGCAGGAGCTCTTGCTGACCACACCGGGGTCTTGCTGCTCACCTGTGGGTCACGATGGTCACCTGGACACCTTGTTGGTCACCTGGTGGTCACCTGGAGACCTTGGGGGTCACGTAGTGAGGATCACCTGCAGATGCTCTTGCTGACCCCACCAGGGTCTTACTGGTCACCTGTGGGTCACGATGGTCACCTGGACACCTTGTTGCTCACCTGTTGCTCACCTGTTGCTCACCTGGCGGTCACCTGGCGGCCCCCCGGTGGTCACTCGCCCCTTCCATTCCCAGGAGCAGAGGAGAAGATCCTGTCGGAGCTGCGCGAGGGGCGCCCCCCCGGGGCTCTGCCCCCCGACCTCCATCTCCAGGCCCTCGTGCGCTCGGCGGGGAAGTTGGTGCTGCTGGACAAGCTGCTGCCCAAACTGCGCCAGGGCGGCCACAAGGTGCTCGTCTTCTCGCAGATGGTGCGATGCCTCGACATCCTCGAGGACTACCTCATCCACAAGAGGTGGGGACACAACATTTGGGGGGAATTCGGGGGGGTTTGGGGACCCTCACCTTGTCCCCCCCAAGTTCCTTTTTTTTTTTTCCCCCAAACTCTCCCCGTTTTTTTGCCTGAATTTAGTCCCAGATCTCTCCAATTTTTTTACCCGGAATTTCTCCCGTTTTCGCTCTAAATTTAGTCCCAAATTTCTACCATTTTTGGCCCAAATTTAGTCCCAAATTTGTCCTATTTTTGCCCCGGGTTTAGTCCCAAATTTCTCCCATTTTTACCTTGAATTTAGTCACAAATTTCTCCCATTTTTCGCCCCAAATTTTTCCTATTTTTGTCCCAAATTTCTCCAATTTTTTACTCAAAATTTCTCCTGTTTTTGACCCAGATTTAGTCCCAAATTTCTCCCATCTTCTTGCCCCAAATTTTTCCCGTTTTTAGCCCAAACTTAGTCCTAAGTTTCTCCCATTTTTTTATCCAAAGTTTCTCCAATTTTTGGCTCAAATTTAGTTCTGAATTTCTCCCATTTTTGGCCCAAATTTAGTCCCAAATTTCTACCGTTTTTGCCCCAAATTTAGTTCCAAATTTCTCCCATTTTTGCCCCAGGTTTAGTCCCAAATTTCTCCCATTTTTACCTTGGGTTTAGTCCCAAATTTCTCCCATTTTTCACCCCAAGTCTCTCCCTTTTTCACCCCAAATTTACTCCCAAATCTCTCCCTTTTTCCCCCCAAATTTACTCCCGAATTCCTTCCATGTTTCACCCCAAATCTCTCCCGTTTTCACCCTGAATTTACTCCCGAATTCCTCCGATTTTTCACCCCCAATCTCTCCCTTTCTCACCCCGAATTTACTCCTGAATTCCTCCCATTTCTCGCCCCAAATCTCCCCCCAGGTACCTGTACGAGCGCATCGACGGGCGCGTGCGGGGGAACCTGCGCCAGGCCGCCATCGACCGCTTCAGCCGCCCCGACTCCGACCGCTTCGTCTTCCTGCTCTGCACCCGCGCCGGCGGCCTCGGCATCAACCTCACGGCCGCCGACACCTGCATCATCTTCGACTCCGACTGGAACCCCCAGAACGACCTCCAGGTGGGACCCTCGGGGGGGTTACGGGACCTCGGGGGGAACCACAGTCCTCCAGAGCCGCTTTGGGGTCTTGGGGAACCTCCACGAAGGTGTTGGTGGAGCTTGGGGAGATTCTTGTCCCATCCTGGGGGTGGTTTGTTGACCCCAGGGGTGGTTCGTTGACCCCGGGGGTGGTTCGTTGACCTTGGGGGTGGTTCATTGACCCTGGGGGTGATTTGTTGACCCTGGAGGTGATTTGTTGACCCTGGGGGTGATTTGTTGACCTCGGGGGTGGTTCGTTGACCCCGGTGGTGGTTTGTTGACCCCAGGGGTGATTTGTTGACCCCAGGGGTGATTTGTTGGCCCTGAGGGTGATTCGTTGACCTCAGGGGTGGTTTGTTGACCCCAGGGGTGGTTTGTTGACCCTGGGGGTGGTTCGTTGACCCCAGGGGTGGTTTGTTGACCCCGGGGGTGGTTTGTTGACCCCGGGGGTGGTTCGTTGACCCTGGGGGTCATTTGTTGACCCCGGGGGTGGTTTGTTGACCCCGGGGGTGGTTCATTGACCCCGGGGGTGGTTCGTTGACCCTGGGGGTGGTTTGTTGACCTTGGGGGTGATTCGTTGACCTTGGGGGTGGTTCGTTGACCCCGGGGGTGGTTCGTTGACCCTGGGGGTGGTTCGTTGACCCCGGGGGTGGTTTGTTGACCCCGGGGATGGTTCGTTGACCCCGGGGGTGGTTTGTTGACCCCGGGGGGGCGTCTCCATTCCCGGTGTGCAGGCGCAGGCGCGGTGCCACCGCATCGGGCAGAGCAAGGCGGTGAAGGTCTATCGGCTCATCACCCGCAACTCCTACGAGCGCGAGATGTTCGACAAGGCCTCCCTCAAGCTGGGCCTGGACAAGGCCGTGCTCCAGTCCATGAGCGGCCGCGAGGGCAGCATCGCCGGGGTGAGCCAAGGGGGGGCTGGGAGACCGCGGGGCACTCCAAGGGTGGAGGGTCACAGGGTTGAGGTTCCTCAAGGGCTTGAAGAGCCAGAGTTGGGTTTGAAGAGCCTCAGTTGGGTTTGAAGAGCCTCAGTTGGGTTTGAAGAGTTTCAGTTGGGTTTGAAGAACCAGAGTTGGGTTTGAAGAGCCAGAGTTGAGTTTGAAGGTTCTCAGTTGGGTTTTGAAGATCCTCAGTTGGGTTCTTGAAAGGTTTGAAGTCTCCAGTTGGGTCCTTGAAGGGATTGAAGAGCCCAGTTGGGTTCTCCAAGGGTTGGAAGACCCCAGTTGGGTCCTTGAAGAGTTCAAAGACCCCAGTTGGGTCCTTGAAG